AATACTCCCTCTGGGTGGAAATGTCTTCTTAGAACCATATAGACGCTCCAGCTGAGCGGAAGATTTCGATGGAATGGCCAACACATATCAAAAGAAAATAATTGCAATGTAGATGCTTGCTGGGATCGGTAATTGTGACGACTTGAAGGCAGTGGAAATGGCTTCCTGAAAATGGAAGTGAGAAAGCAGCTTACAGCTGCGTCCACCCCTCATTTTGCGGAGAATTCATAGTTACCACCGTGAGTACCACACGTCCCATAATGAATAGAATCACAAGAGACAACCAGCAGCAAATTACTGTCCTGATTTCCAGTATCGCAATATGAAACACTGTAGCTCAGTCAATATAGTGATTAGGCTAGGGGATCGACAACCGAGCAACCAAGATCCTCGGAAGGGACAACAGATTTTTCTCGAGACCGGCTCTGGCTCCACCCATTCTCATACAAAATGGGTATCAGGGCTGCTTTCTTTGGAGTAAAGCAGATGGAGCGTCAACATAACGACTCACCTCTATCCAGTTCGGAGGTTTAATAATGGTGGAGCTATACATCCACCTCCCTATAGATTTTCATGGAGTGAAAAAAAGGTAACGCTATCCCTGTAACAGACCGTGGAGGCCCGTAGCGTTGTGAGACGTTGAGGCTCCCACATTATCTAGACATTCGGCTCATAGATGCCGGTGGAATTGTTAGCCTAAAGCTCCGGCCGCCCTTTAACCCCAGGAAGATTCCTGGTAGTCATTTCTGTTAGAGGCTGAGTCGACCCCGGGGCCATAAGGCGGCTGGAAGGATTAAGCCAATTGAAAAAGTCCATCTCATCGGGACTTGAACCCGCGACCTTCCTGCTTGTAGCATAGTGCCTCAACAAAGTTCGCTACCGCGTGCCACTTTCGTGAAGTGATGCTTAATTAATTACGGACAGGGATAATTTTGTCTTGTCCGCGTCATGGCCTGTGTTAAAGAGCTCCAAGCGAATCGATTCCGTAACCTTCAGTAAAAATAAAAGGATTTGCAGGCTGTTTCATTTCGCCGTTCTGATTTCGTTATCTTCTCTTGTCTCCGTGCCCCTCAAGTAATTAACGTGCGTCTTAATGAAGAAGTCTGTAGTTTCTTGACATGAAGACAGTACAGCATTTGCGTAACAGGATCACTATCCGCCGCTCTGGAGTTCCAGGGATCAAATCTTGGTCCTGAGAAAGAGGCCGCCAGTCCTAGGCGAAGTTTTCCGTCATTGCCTTCCGTCTCTCCAGTCAGATATCAGGATCACTCACTCACGGAGCTGAGCCCTTCTTCAGAAACCGCCAATTTCCGCCAAGAACTTCCCAGCGTTTTATGGAACCCGGAAGTTCATTACCGTGTTCACAACAGCGACTACCTCTATTGTCTAGTGGTCAGAGTTCTTGGCTACAGATCAAGAGATCCGGGTTAAATTCCCGGCGCTACCAGATTTTCTGAGAAGTAGTGGGTCTGGAACGGGGTACACTCAGCCTCGTGAGGATAATTGAGGAGCTATTTCAAGGAAATAGCGGCTCAGATCTAGAAAACCGAAATTGACGGACTTGGGGATGCGTTGCGTTGACAACGTGACACCCTCTATCCGCTAAATTTGGAACTAACTTCGCCGACAAGCGGCGATCGCTCAGTCAGTATAGTTCGCTTGCAGACTACAGGCCACGGAGTTTGTTTTTTATTTCATTTTTGTTCGTAACAGCCCTCCACTGGTCCATATCCTAAGCCAATTAGCCCATTCAATAGGCTTAATTAGCCTTCCCTCTCTTCTCGCCCCCACTCTGGAGCGTAGGGCCGTTTTCTCAGTTTCATGATCATTTTACAGACGTTAGGACTCCTTGGACGGGTGATCAGCTCGTCGCAAGTCCTCTACCTAAACATAGTACAACACAAACCAGTAAACGCATGCAAAGACCAAACATCTATGCCTTGTGTGGGATTGGAACCCACGATAGCGATTTCCGAGCGAACGAAGACAGTTCATACCTTAGACCGCTCGGCTACCGTGACCGGTAATTATACAACTATTCAACGTTATGTAATCTGAGATACTGACAGCATCGTTAAATAACCAACAAAAGACTAACAACTGTAATGAAACATGTATTCCATATGATATAAAAATGATAGATGGGAAACATTCCGTACATGTGATGATCCAATGGCTAACAGCAAGATGGCCGCTTGGCGAAGACTGTAGCGTTGTATACATCACATATGTAGCATTGAGATACGTGATGCTGGAAGCCAGTCAGCTGAACACGCACGCAATCGATTGCTAGTTACGTCCATATAACGTGAACGTGATCAGAACACTGTACCATCTTTACAGCAAGAAAATCCCTAGAAATGTCTTTGAAATATCGAGTGCGCAGGAGACACTGCACATATCAGTGAAGATCCATACTTTTTTTTTTATTTGTTTCTGGAATTTTTTTTCTGCGCCTAAATTTTGTCTTTGCTGGAAGAAGTCCATTTATAATTTTCACTGTAAGAAATTATTTTTCTTTCCGGTTCTCTAATGATATTGTCAGTAGCTGGACTTTATAGCTTCAAGGGGTAGGATGATAGCTTGTGAGACGTCGAGGCTCCCACAGTTTCTATACAGTCGGTTAACAGATGGCGGTATGATTGTCAGCCCTACGCGCCGGCCGCGCTTTACTCCCCAGGATAATTATTTAATTAATTCCTGGTACTCATTTCTGTTAGAGGCTGAGTCGACCCCAGGACCATAGCGCGGCTGGAAGGATTAGGTCAATTGAAAAATTCAGTGACCTTATCGGGAATCGAACCCGTGGCCGTCCGGCTTGTAGCATAGTACGCTGTCGCGTGCCCCCGGTAGGATGATAGACGAATAGGATATTGAAAACGATCTGGAACTGAGCCATCGTGACCTAATCAAGGCACGTACTCGACGTTTGGCTGGAAAGACTTTTTAAAACCATGAAAAAAAATTCTCGGGATAACCTATGTCCTGTCCGGGATCCGAACCGAGAACTACCCGAATTTGAGTGTAGAGTGTTACAGCTACATCGACCCGCTAGGTGATAACATTTCACATGTAATAAATTTCATGCGATGACACGAATAGCCATTAATATTAGATATGCATCATCCGTATATCAGTTGACTGACCCCGTGCTCATTATTCAACCCCATTTGCAATGGAGAATGAGAAATAACAAGAACAACAGTAATCCCATAAAGTAGAAGCCTTCTGGATGATCTGATTGTATCTCAGCTCGTCAAACCTTCAGGTGGAGGTAAAGTTGTCCCTGTGCTTAACTAATTAAGCACTTCACCATGGATGTGTATGGAGGAGTGGATGTATAACCCACGTTTTCTTGACCTCGGCAATAAATTAGAGATGATTGGTCAGCTTCACGCCCCGGTCGCTTTACCTCAGGGGAAAGAACCCCCCCGGTACCCGTTGCATAGGAGGTTGAGAGCCGGTCTGGACGAGCTTGAGAAGTGAAAGTTCTTGACCCTACTGGGACTCGAACTTCGATCCCTCGGTGGTCCAGTCAGTAGCCAGTCGCCATACCGACAACATTTTGTCACGTTTTAATGAAATCTTGAAGATTTATTACCGTCCTCACAAGAGCTCGCCAATGGGCCGTTTCTGAGTCAGGTGAATAGAGAGCCAGATCTTGTAGTTGCATTTTTATAGTTTGTTCCCATCTACGCCTATGTCTCCCCGTTAATTTTTTTCCCTTCAGGTTTTCCAACAAAATTTTTGTATTCGTTTCTTATTTGCCGCGCCTATCTCCATTCTGCTTGATTCGATGAACAGTACAAAATAGGAAGCCCGTCTCTCCGTCACAATTTTACATCCTTTCCTTATATCCAAATAATAATTATTATAATTGTTGGGGCATTACCCATGAGCTTAATTAATTGAGAACCACGCCATGAAAACGTATGGGATAGTGGAGTTGTAGCTTCACCATTCTTAACTTGGGCACTGTGTTGAGTTGAGTGGTCAGTTTCCTGCTCCTGTGGCTTCACCCCCCTAGGAAACAGCCCAAGGTACCAATTGGATAGGAGGCTGTGTGGTTCTCACAGGCGGTCTGAGCGTTATGGAGAAGATGAAAATCTCTTATCCCTGCCGGGAATCAAACCTCGACTCCTCGGTCGTTCAGCCCGTAGTCTAGTCCCTATACCGACTGAGCTATTCGCGCTTCAACAATTATGACTTCAAAACGCCATTCTACATAATATTCTACATTCTACATAATATGTCCCATGAAACATTTATAGTCATGAGGATTGCCGCAATATACCTGGATTTATCTCGAGCTCGAAGACACAGCGAGCTGTGTGTTCTTATGACATTTGCTGTCAGGCAAGGTGACATTTAACGTTTCTTTGTTCTAGCGTTTAACTGCGACCATCAACGTTGTTATGATTTCCTACTCTTACGTTCTGTTCCACATTTCGGGCCGTCATTTGCCTCTGCTTCACTCTGTCTGGAATGTTTTGCATCATTGCTCATGGCTTAACGGCGCTAACACTGAGACTCTCAGACGGTATAGCCTTGTGTTATGGGCTGATTAATGAATGATCAGTTGAAAAGAATGAGGAAGAAAATGGTCGTGATCTACTTTAATGTACTATCTCTGTCTGGAGAGTCTGAAGGAAATCACGAAAAACTTCAGTGAGGCTGTTGGAGTTTTGGCCGAGATTCGAACCGATTACCTCCCGAATATTTCTGCAATAAATGAACGTCAATGCCAGAAGTATTCATAGTTTTAATCGACGCAGCTGGACAATCCAGAGTTGAGCACGCTTTCTGCTCCTCTGTTTATTCCCCTCATGAGATATTGAACACAGATACTGAATACTGGCCGCCTGTAAGTATGTCTTCTGTGACAATTTCTTGCAGGCTGTTCCGTTCTCCCTCCTTCCGTCTAGGTTGGCTGTACCGATAATTGCCGATTGTCTTACGAATTCATCCGAATTGAGGTAGACAAATGAACATCGTGGCGCTATACGGTGCTTGCATGGAAGGGTGCAATTGTCAAGTATTGATAAGTTTCTTATAACAGTGTTATCAGTGGTGAAATTGTTTAAACACAAGTGTTACTAATTGTGAAATTGCATATTGTTTCTCGTGTTATAGTCTGTGTGGTTTAAGAACGTTGCTATATGAAGTAAAGCCAGTGTGATCTGATACGTCGGCATGCAGCATGTTGTGGAGAGACAACAAATCACGTGATACGTTCCTGGACGGGAGGTAAGAATTAGAGTTTAATGCATCAGAAAAAGGGACATATTAGTAGAAAATAGTTGTCTCGAAATGACTGTTGAAAGCAATCCTGATATTATTTTCATTTTATTATCGTTTATATATATTCAACACGGTATTTATGAATGAAATCGTGTGCACATGTTACCGTATTTTAACCATTCTGATTCTCTAAGAAGCTAAATGAAAAGTGCATACAGTGTTTTTTGTAAGAACATTTGAAGTTAGGAGACCGAAGGAAGATCAAGGCATACGTGGGAGTATAATATTAAAATAGATCATGTAATTAGGACGGGAGGATGTGGTTTGGATTCATCTGGCTCAGGTTAAAAACCAGAGGTGAGCTATTGTGAACATATGGATCTAGAGGTAACGCTCTAAACTTGCATTTTGGAGGTACTCGGTTCGAATCTTGGTCGGAGCACCGACAGTCCTGATTGATATCTTGCGTGGCTGTCCTCAGTTGCTCTAAGCAAATTCTGAAATAATACCTGGAATGAGCCACTACTGCATCCTTCCAAGTTTTTTCCAATTCATCGTCATTCATTTGTCATCATATTTTCTGACGATCTGTAGTGCCTCACACTGTCGGCAATAGCGGATCACTACATGGACGATCAGCGCGCACGCGGACCAATCAGCTGCCATAACATTCTTCTTACCCGTAAAGAGTATGCCAATTTCGGGTTTTCTCCGAATAAGGGAAAAATTAGAGTAGCCAATTAAAGTAATTCTGTAAACAATGATTCCTCGCAATTGTCTTAATTATTTTATTTATTATATGTGTATTGGAACACGCGGTAGCGTAGTTGGTTGAGGCACTATGCTACAAGGCGGAAGGTCGCGGGTTCGATTCCCGGTTAGGTCATTGGATTTTTTCAGTTGACCTAATCCTTCCAGCCACACTATGGCCCTGGGGTCGACTCAGCCTCTAACAGAAGTGACTACCAGGAATCTTCGGGGAGGGGGGGGGTAAAGAGCGGCCGGCGCGTAAGGCTGACAATCTCACCGCCATCTCTGAGCCGATTATCTAGAATACATGGGAGCCTCGACGTCTCACAAACCTATGGACCTCCACGGCCTGCTACAGGGATACCTTTACCTTTTTTACCTTTTATTTTATGTTTATTACATATCATATTGTGCTCTAATATTATATGGATTATCACACTATGCGGATCTCTTTTTATGAACCTCCACTGACCACCAATGACCACCAATGACCCGCAGTCCAAAGTTTGAGAAACACTGATCTATAATCTAGATACTAAACGCGTCCTAAAATAAGCCACGGAAAAAATGACACATTGAGTTGCTTGGGTGGAACACCTGTTCAGTGATTGGCTTACGTGCGCTGCTGTACCGAGCGCCTGCCATTACTGACGAGAAATGAGAAGACAAAACGAGGTTGAAGAGTAATCCAGACATATAACCTGTATCAGGCTAATTCAATTCTAGGCAACGTGCGCCCTTCACCGTCTTTAATTACGAAGTACACAATACGTTAGATAAGCGATGTCAATAATCAGTACATATGATTAATGAAGTGGGGTCAGAAGTGACGTCCTGCAACTTCCTGAACACGTGTTCTGCTTCCCAAATATGTTTGTTACGCTATCAAATTACGGGAGTATTTACTTTAGCAAACAGATCGATACTCAGATGACCTGGCATTGTAACTCTCACGCACTGAACCCCCAGCTGACGGGCTACAATATGACTTGTCATTTGCGAGGAAGTCAGTTAATTTGTGCTGCTAAATTGTCCGTTCGTTATCACAGGTTTGCACCGTCGAGTGAGAATTAGCACTGACGTTTAGGCCGTGACATAGCTCAGGCGGTTAGTCGTCGACTTCCCGGCGCTGCGGCCTGGGTTCAAGCCCAGGTCAATGTAAAAGTGAAGGTATCCCTGAAACAGGCCGTGGAGGCCCATAGGGTTGTGAGACGTCGAAGCTCCAACATTTTCTAGACAATCTGCTCACAGATGGCAGTAAGGTCAGTCTTACGCGCTGGCCGCTTTTTACCTCCAGGAAGATTCCTGGTACTCATTTCTGTTAGAGGCTGAGTCCACCCCAGGGCCATAGTGCGGCTGGAAAGATTAGATCATCAGAAAAATCCAGTTACCTCATCGGGACTTGAACCGCGATGTTTCGGTTTGTAGCATAGTGCCTCAACCAACTACGCTACCGCGTGCCACTTCCAGGTTAACTCAAATGGGGTTTGTGGGGATAAATTTGCACTGCGGCAGTTTTTCTCCAAGTACTTCGGTTTCTCTTGCCAGTGTTCATTCAACGCTCATCTGTCATCCGGGCCTGATACAATAGGCCCAGTAGTGGCCGGCATACCAAGTGGGGTCATTCTCACCCCACCCCACGAAATGAAATTATTCATTAAAATTTAAAAGGTTGGGAATGTGCCCATAGATTCTATTTATGTGTCGTACGATTTTTAGAATGAACATCGATACTTTCTCTAAATGTCAGTAACAAGTTGGTCTTTGTACTGCGTTTTCAATGAGGTAGGAACGTACTTCAAGGAATTTCAGATTTGCTGGAAAACTCTCAGGGGACCTCTATATGCTTTAGTTGCCAGGCTCCTCGCTAGAAATCAGTATTCATCCGGAAAGTCCTGCGACCAGCCACATTAGTGCAGATTTCCTTAATTTTATCATCTTGGACTTAACGCTGTGCAATCCTTTGAAAGTCAACTGACGTTTCGAAAGAATATATCGTATGCATCTCCAGGGTCGAAAAATAAGCCATGCAAGAAATCAGCCTGTAAGCAAATGGCAAGGCAGAGCTATATGTTCCTCCGAAACGTCGATTAACTTTAAACGGTCTACACAGCGTTGTATCCCAGAAGATATGACTCTTAAAATTTACGTAATTCTCGGGATTACGGGGGAGGGGGGTTTGGACTTTGTCCATCGTTTGGTTATTTTGAAGAACAGAAGGTTTCGGAAACTGTATCTGTTTCCGTCCTCAGGTGAGGGGATTGAAGACACCTACTCTGTCTGGTCCATTAGAAAGAACTAACCTGAATCACTGGACCAACATTCATAAGTTTTACCAACGGGGATAGCGCAGTCGATGTAGCGACTGGCTACGGAGTGGACGACCGAGGGGTCGGAGTTCGAGTCCCGGTAGGGTCAAGAATTTTCTCTTCTCCACGTCTTCCAGACCGGCTCTGCTGTTCACACAAACAGGGTTAAAGTGGCCGGGGCGTGAAGGTAACCACACACCTCCAACTAGTGCCGAGGTCAAGAGAACGTGGCTCTATACATCCACTCCCCCACGACATAGTGCTTAATGAGTTAAGGACAGGGACAACTTTACCTTTTTTATATTTTATATGGGCCCCAAATCACAGAAGAACGTATCATGCTTCTAGCAACACATACAGAAGACGGAACGGGAAGTGTAGGTTGAACTTTTCGCTTTAGGGACACGGAAGACCCTTGATCTAGTAGGACTAACCCTGTGGAATGTTTTGTCTGTCGAGCTTCGTGGGAGGACGGGCATGAATAGTTCACGAGGCGAAAGACAGAGAGGAATGGAACAGTCAGTACCGACCCCAATCCCCTGGGAACTATACAACCGGCGCATTCAAAATGCCTATTGCTTCTCTCTGCTGTTTATTGAGTTCGTGTCCCATGCTGCCCATCAAGGGGGTTGTAACTGAGTAGTTTGATGAAGCAGTAATTACTTTGCCCTTGTTTATATACGTGTGTGCAGTAATGGATCATAAGTGTAATTACGAAAACAGGGCGTCATCTGAAATCTTTTGGTCTTCTCTACTACTAACTGCATATTTGTGGGTTATTTAACAACATCTATCTCTCCTTCAGATCGCACATTCACACAACGGAGTCGCCCGTCAAATAGTATCAAATATTAAATAATAACATACAACATAACAACGGGCCTCCCCACATCAGCCACTGTGTATATAATACGTGTATGTCCGTATAAGCATTACGTATATTACGATTACAACTGCCAACTTCCAAATANTGTGGTGTTAACCGACGTTTCGGAGGAACGTATCGCCTCCAACCGGTAACCCGGTTCTCACGGTCTCTTCGCTTTGCAGATTTCTTATATTTTTTCTTCTACCCTGAAGATGGAGGCGATACGTTCCTCCGAAACGTCCGTTAACACCACATATACACGGTGCCAAATCCCAGAAAACTGCTTTCTTCATAGTCACCGCCGTGAAAGCCTCAAATCTTACATTTAATGTATTTGCCTGATGATGGCCTTTTGAAGGCCGAAACATGTAGCAAAAGTATCTCTTAGAGCTACTTACACTTATTATTGATTGTTGTATTATGACGAGTTTCAGCAAGAACAAATATATAATACACAACAGGATGCATTCACTGAAAATTATTTAACAGCAGTTTCATTGCCGGGTGGTTTCTTCTCTTCAGCTTTTCCAACAAAAATTAGTCACATTTTTTGTTCCCCTGAAAGCGTGATACATGTCAGGCTCATCTCACCGCTATTGACTTACCACCCTAAGATCACCAGATAGAGAATATGCTTAATTTTTCTCATGAGATTTTAAGTTATCACAGAGATGAAAATTTATGTTTTGGACATCTGAATTGTAGCTCCTATGCTACGTACACGTGCTGTAACCCACAAGCTCACAATGTAAATTCCCATATTGTGTTACTTGGCGGCCCAAATTTCACAGGGACTAGCAGGGACATGAGCCAAGTTCGTGTAGTTGAATGGGTGTGAAATATTCATGGGTAAACTGGTGATGTTGCTTCTAATTAGTGTAATTTTACATTCATTTACAAACGGGCGGCACGTAAGTTCAAGTACCATTCGCGTCAACTTCTGGTTTGTGTATGTTTATTGAAAATAATTTGCAAAGCAAATTTTGTTGAATATAAAATAAAACTGTTTTTAAATCTGCAATTGTAATTCTGCCCATTAGAGGATGAGGTTTATGCTCCGTAGTGATGCATGATGAAAG